TTGAGGTGAACGAGTTCTTCTCTCATTAATTTTAAGACGTTATTAGAAAAACAAACAATTTACCTAAAGTCATTTATTTCCTTTTTTGGGAAGTAGAAACCCCGAAAGGTGATTAATAATCAACTACTAATAAATGTTATTAAATAAAATTGATGAATCGTAAATCACTCCTGCTGACAGAAGTAGAGCATTGATACGTGTACGCATATAACTAAGCTCGTTTGGCTTAGCCAAAAAGCTCTATGATGTAAGCGCTTTTCACTTAAATGACAATTCATGAGCATGTAAAACAGTTTAATTATATTATTGCAAAATACCTGGAGAAGAATTTGGTAATATTAAAAGTCGGTACAATTAAGCAATTCTTTTCCATCAAGCAAGGCGGAAGAACGTTTACGGAAATATTAAATCTTTTTGATCAGTAAAAAGCGATTCATCACTAAAACCTGTATTAAAATAAAGGCTTCGCATTAAATCAACTTATCGTGAAGTAAGCCATAATTGGTTGTTATTACAAAGAGGTCCTTAATAAGGACCAAAGATATGTATAACGAGTATTTTGTACACGCATTACTTATTTAAACTGTAAGTTCTTGCTGTAGGACGAAATATAAGATGTAAATTAACTTCTATATTGATTTAACACTCTGGCAGAAGCAAACGGAAGCCGCCGCCGTAGAATGAAGTTTTACAAAATAACATTCAAGTGTGAACCTAGTATTTATTATACCCTCAAGTATGGGAATCATGCAATATCTGATGGAACTGTAATAGGTAGTCCATTTCTTATTTAGATCGTGTATGATAACACAATTGGTTATAAATCACACGTGAGGTGTTAAAAGCGCTTTGTAATTATGGGAAAAAAATTATCTTACGTAATGTATAAGAAGATGCACGCAGTATTATGTTGTAAATGCTTTTTTGCGTACACGAATTTTGTGGTTATTAACCTATAACCAAATCCGCTATTTGGTAATGTATGAACATCGTATGGTTCAGTTCCCGTCACGATTTAATGATATAAAATAAAAATATGAAATTTAGTTCACCAGGGTTGGGAAATTTTGCAAATATTTATCTTAATATTGTAGCGAATATTCCAGAAATCTCGATAGACATCGAGGTGCCATGAAAGATTAGTCATCGCCGTAAAGAACGAAGGCGAATGAGGCGCAATATTTCCGAGAAATTTGACGGCTTTGTTCTAGAACATTCGAGAAGACTCGCAACCACTCGGGAACCCTCGAGTTTACTATATTAGCAAACAAAATTGCGTTTCAGGACAGTTCTAATTTCAACGCCGAAGTAATAAACAGATCCCGCTCTTATAAATTGTGTATATGTGAGTGATAAATAATATTTTAACTGTTATAAATTTATTGTTAATTAATTGTAAATACGTTTAATTGGTGTCAGGTATGGGGTTATGTTTAAGTAAACAATTACTGGAAGCTTATGCCAATAGTGATCAGGGATTTCCTATGTCTACTTTCAAATAATCAAGTTTTCTGAAGGACGCCTATTTTTATGCAATCAAGATAACTTCTTGAAACATATAATTAATAAATATCTGGCTGTCATATTAATTATTAATTTGAATATTGTTGCTTTGGCTTCACAGAAAATAAATCTCGTGCGCTCCTTTAACTGTTACCGGCACTATACCAATTGGAAATATCAACTTTTTCTTTAGTTGAATACATCGCACACGAACGAAAATTAGAAAACGGGAGTCAAAGCGATAATATTCAAATTAATTAATATGAAAGGCAGATCTTCATTTGTTGTAGGTAGTTATTTTGGTTGCATAAAGTTTGGCGTCCTTCAGCAGACTTTTTATCATTTAAAAGTAAACATAAGAAATTCCTATAGAAAATACCTATGTCTACTCTACATGAATATCACTGTATAAAAAAAAATTGTGCTGTATTTTGTTACTAAATTGAATATCCAGAATAAAGAATTTTCGATTTTACTCCAAAAAAGTCTACATTTTGTTTCAAGAAGGGATATTTAACCCCAGCCTGTTACAATTTTTCATGAAGATGGTTCCAACATTTTTTATATACCACCAATGGATTTTGAGGAAGGAATGCGAAAAATCCTGATATTAGGACTTGTTTCGAAAAAAGTCTGAAAACAAGGAGATTGTATGCTCGCTTTGCAAAAGATAAGTTAAATTTGTGAAGGATACATTTATTAAGTTTTTCAAATAAATTCATGTAGTTTAAATAAAAACCGTTCGATTCTAAATTAACATGTTACGAGTACATGTCGCATAGTGTACATTTTAATAAAATAATACTATTTCTTAGACGTAATTTGATTTTGAAATGTTAATTGGAAACCTAAAAAATCATTTTATTTACTGCCAATTATCGCTCATTACAAAAAACATGAAGAACTACCTAATTCCCATAATATGGAATATGGGAATATGTCATATAATGTTATCAAAAATAAGAAAAGATGCTTTTGTTGTATGGCGGAAATATATTCAATCAAAATTTATTGGCTTGTTTCCCAAAGGGCAAATGTCAACTGTTTTCGTATTAGAAGGTACATTTTAGCTAAATTTGTATGAGTAAAAAGGGCCAATGTCTATATTATGTAATAGGAAAACTTAGTAATAAAAGGCTAAAGTTGTTTAGTTCAAATAATTGGCATAAAATTAGAAGAGAGAGCTTGAAAATTAAAGAAAAGGTTTACACATCAATAAAAGGTAAAACAGTGCCTGAATCTGAAAAGTGTTTGAAAGGTATAGTTAAAAAAATGCTTTTAATAATGTTCACACAAAGAAAAATAAGTCATTCCATAATCTGTTTCGAGAGGTACAAAATAGTCATATTCAGGAAATAAAGAAAAGAAATACAAAAGCTAAGAAGTACATAGCAATGAAAAGAAAGTAGGAGACGTTACCTACACATAATTTACTATCTCGAGTAACACACAGAAAAAATCGAAACCTGTCAAATTTTAAATTATAAATCGGCCCTTTCGTACAAACAATTTAACAGACACGTTGCTTACGTTACAAAACCAAATATGGATGCGCTCTTAATTTCGAACAATATCAAAGGAATGTAGCAGCCATAAGTAAAAACATTAGGGGAACCCGGAGCAAAGTGAAATTAAATATACATCTGATATTTGTAGCGAATTTTTGTGAAATATATGCGTAATAGAGGCACCATAGTGGAATCACGTCTACCAAAATTGGAAAGTAAAGGAAGTGGAAAAGATAACCTACTTCTGTTATGATGCACAATAGGGCAAAGTAAAAATTTTTAAATGAAGCAAAGTGGAATTAGTTTTCAAGTGATGTGTGCAAAGAAAAAACCGAATAAATATAAAATTTTCATGTTTCCCCATTTTAAATTTCACTTTGCCCCGTATATGGGGCAAAAAATCGCAGTAAAATATATGCTCTCATTATGATCCTTATGTTACACCAGTTTGTAAAGAAATCCTATATTTATCCTATAAACACACTACCATTATTTAAAATGTTGCTTTCATCAATTTATGAATTGTTTGGTCTTAACCTGTCCACTTTGCCCCGGGTTCCCCTACTGAAATCTTAAATGGAAGTCAGAAAATTCTAAAGAAAGTCATGCATTTTCTAAAAGCTATCAATTTATTTAAAACGATATAAATAAGAATAATAAGTAAAACGGAAAAACATCAGGCCTTTGTTGTCGTTTACTTTTCCTGAAAACAAAACAAAAAACAAAAAGATGAAATGTGCCAGATTTTCAAACTACTCCGATATGATTAAGAACATAAATATATTGCTATGTTGTATTCATACAAAAGCAAAGAAAAACGTATACCTACCGTACATTTTCAGTACGAGGACTTTCCACAGCTGATAACAATGTCGATAACGTTTCTACTGACATGTACGGCAGTAACAAATTTATACGAATAATATCAAATAATGAAAAATTATACGATGCCGTGCATATTGGATGGCACGTAATTACGAATAAACTAAAAACCACATAAGGCTTAATCCGAAACGGTTATTTCTTGCATACAAGTTTTGATAGTTTTAATTTTGTCAGAATAATCTTACATTTTACATAATATTTTGGAATAGGTATGGTACATTTTGCTGTGATCTTACAATCAGGTCTCTCTCGAGATACAATCACCTCCATTATCACACAAACTGAACAAAATGAAAGAATATGATGAAGATATATTAGACAAATCTTTACAACGGTGTAATATGTATCCTTTATACCTTTATTACTGCACTTACTTCCTGAACTTTTAGTAAAATTGACTATGTGTATTTTTATACACAGCCAAAGAATCTAATTTTCATTTTTGAACAGTAATGCGCCAAAAAATACATTCAAAAATATTACAGACTCTTTTTAAGAACTATTCGTTTGCAAACTGTTCATGGTTTAGAAAATTTTACTAGGAATTAAAACCAGAATCATGTCGCGTCGTCATATAGAACTAAGATAGGATTTGTATGGACGGTGATTAATTACTTTCAGGCCTCCTTTTATTGAAAATTAACCTGAGCATGTTCGAAAAATAATCATATGTGAGTAATTGTTTGTTTAAAATTTCCCTTAAAGATCAAAAATGCGACATGCGCTACCATCTACAATATTTATTCCAAACTGGTTACACCAGTCTTCGGTAGCCCATGCTACCAGTTCATAGTGGGTAGTTCTCTAGAAAGTTTATTACAGTCAGTTACCTGAAGTATTAGATTTCTTTAGTATTGAGCACCGTATGTTGGGTTGCAGATAATTCATAAACAAGTTCGTAAAATATCGCACGAAGTTTGTATTTTGTTATGCTGTGATTGTATATTTTACTATAATTGAAAACCAAAATAAAGACACCTATTCTAAGTTCTAAGAATAAATCACATTCGAATATAATTCGTATATAATTCACAGCTGCAAGATTGTGCAATTTCAATCCTGGTAATAGTTTTCCAAAGAAATCGGTGCACTAAATTTTATAAGACACAAATAAGAAATAATAAATTACAATAGAAGGTGGACATTTACTTGTCACATTTCCATTCACCTAACCCAAATGCCAAATGGACCACAATGGACTTACATAACTAAACATGCAAGCAGTTTTGAAAAGCTGCGTCAATTTTTGCAATAATTCGCACGACATTTTCACAATGCGCCTGTTTACAGCTATCGCTCAGTTTTACAGTGTCTGGAATTCGTTTAGCATTCGAAGCTTTTAAATCCTTGATCTCCTTCTTCGTCTCGTCAACGCACCCATTAGTGCTCGATATTGAGCAAAAGAAAATGTGAGATTTAACCGCGTCCCACTTGTTCAAGGCGTCATTCAGCGAATAGTTATAATCACAATCGTTGAGGTGTTCCGGATTAACCCTCTGTTGTAACGTAGCGGCGTGCACCTTGGCGCATTCCGAATTCGGGCCGGACGACGACGCAACCCTCGCTTGAGAATCGCGAATTTGCTGAGAGACGTTCAGTTTTCCGGTGGCAATTATGTTTTCGATCGGAATTCTGGCTTGGCGGATTAACTCGTTGGTTTCGTGCAGCCCTTCGCGGTAGAGTAGCTCCAATGCCTTTATGTCGATTGTACTTGGTCGAAGGGCTTGAGCTTGAGGTACTCCTATGGAAACAACCTGTGAATCAAAGTCGCTTAAGCTTAAGCGAGCAATGTGTACGTTAACAATCTTACCGCAATAAAAATTAAGGTACCGAATTCCATTTTACGGTATGACTGTGCAATAAAGATAATCACGAATGACAAATCCCTGTAAGCCGAACACTTTATAATTCAGGGTACCATGACGTAGTTATCTGTAAGGTAAGTTCCAGTTACTGATACGATAACGAATTGTGGTTTATTCTACTGCACATGCCATTGTTAAACCTATTATTAATTTTATTGGTACTCAATTTGCAATGTTGCAATATGAGATTATTTTTCAGGTACAGTCGTGTTTCATCTCGTATCCGAGTACGCAAAACGTATATCATATTTAGTTGAAACATCGGTTTTGGTGAAACTTACGTTGTGATTTCAATCTCCTCTTGATTTTCAAGTGCATCCACTACTTACATATTGCAACGTAATCCTTAATGTATTTAGAAAAGATTACGTTCCTACTTAAAATAATACATAAACGTGAAATGCTAAATGCCATGGTTTTGCTCAATGCTTTCTATGTGTGCCTAGCTCAAGTTTTGACCTCATCAATGAAGCCAATGAAATTAATTAAATGGTGACCGTCATTTAATATGTATACTGAAAGCAATTGAACAAGGTAAGGAACTCAAAGGGGAATTTGCACTGAAAATAGATAGGGCTATTTTTTGTATTTGATCCAGTGTAGCCTCCTCTAGCATTTTCTCAATTAGCGCTAAGCCTTCGCATTCAAAAACAAGTCCGTTCTTTCTTTTACACAATTTCTAGTACATTCCAAGAAAATGTTGGTTTTTCTTTTGGGTGTAAAGTCACTGTGCGGTTTTTCTTCTTTTTATTTATTTTTAGTAACCTCTTCTTGACTTCGATTCCCTAATTTTTACTATTTCCTCTTGATTCCTTGCTTTTGCTGTTCTTTTACTTTTTGGCATTTCTTTTCCATTTCGTGTTTTCTTCCCCGTTTCCCCTTTTTCGATGCTTCCCCTGGAGAGTTGGTTTTTGCTGCTTTCATCTTTTCCGTTTCGTTTTCTAAAAATAAATCGTGCTCTTCATTTATCTGGCATTAGTAGGCTAGGCATGTTCGTTCTTATACTGTTTGTCATTTTGTGGGAGATAGAGAAATGAACATATTCGTTTGGATGTTAATTGTTGGTTTCATCGTATTTGCTCCAATTCCCAATTTAATTTCCTCCATAACTCATAAGCTTATCTGCTATTTCTTGTTCGTATTCTAACTGGCCACAGTATATGGTCGATAACAAGCAGCGTGATCATTTGTCTGTACCTATTATATCGTCGCAAGAATTTATTAATAGAGGGATGATTTAATTAAAGTTCTTATCTATACATCAAAGTAAAAAAACGTTTCTTAAAAACTCCATAAAATAGCTTGTTGCAGCAGTTCTTGACCCGGAAATGAAAAAGATTGTAAGATTTTAACTTATACCGAGGTGGACTCGAAAATTTTCAAAAATTTTTTCGCTATTTCTGTCGAACCATACCAAGTTTCGTCGTGATCTAAATTTTTAGGGATGGGACATCATCTTGCGGTAGAAACATTTAAAAATAATGCAAAATTGGAAAAGGTCTACGCCAAAATTTGGGTAGAACCGTTAATTCTAAACTTTGGGCCTATAGGGGGTGTAGCTACAGCCCCTACCGAACCAATCACTGCTTTGAATTACTTGGGAATAATGTGCTATGGTCCCCTACCACCAATTTACCACCCATTCGCACCCGCGTGTTCTGTGTGTTCAGTACGATCGGTTCAAAGTGCTAACTCCTTCGCAGACCTACTTAACAACTACAAGGATGTGACTACACCGCGAGTAGTCAATGATAAAGTCCCGCATTCAGTTACTTGCGTTCCATCAAATCCGAGCTTTCGGACATCGAGAATACCATCATTACAGCCCCTTTCGGATTAGTCGAGTTCCCGGTGGTCACGTTTGGTCTCAGGAATGTGGCGCAAACTTTCCAACGCTTCATCAATCATCAATCGGTCGCGTACCTCGACGATGTCTTGACCGCATCACCAAGCGAAGCGAAGGTGCATTTCGAACGAGTGTTTCAACGATTTCAAGAACATGGAATCATCATCAACGTCGTCAAATGCGAGTTTGGAGTGCCATCGCTCACATTCCTTGGAATGGACATCTCTCGCGAAGGTGTTAAGTCATCCGCCACCAGGATAGCAACTCTTAAGGACTTACCGTTACCAACCACCGTCCACTTCCATAAATGACATTTCCACCGAATCCGTTTCTTAAGCGAATGGATTGCAAGATCCGGAATTCCGGAACAGATTATAACCGACCCTGGCAGACAATTTGAGTGTATTTTCTTCGCTGAAATCAACCGGATCCTCAGAATCAAACATCTCCGTACTACCGCATATCATCCCCAGGCGAACGCTAAAGTGAAACGCCTCCATCGCACGCTCGACGCTGCGATCAAGGGCTACAGAAGCGAGCGATGGGTAGAAGTTCCTACCTACCATCCTTCTGGGTCTTCGGTCAACTCCCGCAGATGAATCTGGTTTTGAACCCGCATCATTCGGACACAACTGAGTTTGCTAAGACACTCAGATCCTCCTTCGTCAGCCCAAATCAGGAGAACATAGAAAGTCACGAATGTTCCTGCCGAGAAAACTGTCTCTTCGCATCAACGAACCATGCCCGGACGACTCGTGAATTTTCCAAAACGTTTCCCAACTTCCATACCACTGCGCTGGAGGGGGAGTAATGTGGCGATGCGCCGCATGCACATCCGGCAGCAAACTCAAAGGATTCATTACAGGATTAGTAATTCTTAATTTCTTACTACCTTCTTATTGGAACATCACAAGTTCTGGTTTAGCTATAGTCGCTGACATTCTCGGTTGCTGCAAGAAATACTTCCATGTATATTGAATAAAATGATATCCTTTGGGTAGGTTTTTAAAAATTTCTTTAATAAGTAACTATTTATTTATTTTTAAGTGGGCAGGGTTTCAACCAAGGCTGTCCCACTACAAGGTTAGTAGAAAACTAACCTTGGCCCCACTACATATTAACAAATATCCATGTCCGAACGCAAGGACCTTTAGTACTGCGGTCAAGCTTCGACTTTCCCATCCTCTACCATCCTAGTACACAGTAATTTAAAATCTTCATCATTTGGCCGTACTGCATTGTTTTTGACGATTTCTGTTAACAGGTTGAGATTTTTAGTTACATTTTCTTGAATGGTAATTTTAGTTAACGCATTGCCTTCCTCTATTCTCGCTCCTTTGTGTTGATGTTCTACCCAGTATTTGATTCTTTCTTGTAAATCGATCATCTCCATGCCTTTTTCTCCTATAAAACTTGCAATACTACTTTCATACTCGTTCCCTACTATAGATTCGACATTCTGATGATTTTCCTGTTTCCAATAATCTTTTTTGTGCTTCTGATGCTTCTCTTATTGCGGCTGCAGTTATCCTTCGTGTAGCTTTTGAGCTTCGGTTCGTCTATCTCTAACAAAGCTTCTCGATCAGCGAATTGAGCTTTTATTATTGGTTTAATCGAGCTTACTAGCAAATTGCCCATTCCCCTGACGTTTTTCGGATGTTTAGCTTATTTGACTGGGGGTTTTCCGATTTACTTCTCCCGGCTGATATGATTTCTGGCTCTCCTAGTTCAATGACAGGTCGGCTGGGATTTTCCGTTCGCTCTTCACCGGCTAAACGGACTCCGACCGCTACCTTCTTTCTCTTTGAGCACCTGATGTCTTCAGTCCATGAACCGAGGCGTTTCGGCGGCTTTCATTTTAGAACTTTTAAACTGCTTAAACTGGCCTGTTATGATGCCTGATTATTATAGAAAGACCCCTAGCTCTTTAGTGTTCCTTGATATCCTAGTAGTTGAGGTCTCTGGCAATCCTTTTACTATGTATTAGTATGGTTCTTTAAATTCCCAGTCTACGGTCCTGTCCTTCCAAGCCGACGGTACAATCCTATAGTTGTCCTTTTCTTTCTTTTATGATGACGATGTTGCATAATTTATTATCTGACTGTAATACGCAAAAATATATAAAAAGTGCGATTGCGCATTGAAAATATTTGATTTTACAAAAGTTATAAGCGATTTGATTGAAAGCTTACAGGGGCGAAAATTAAAACTAGAATCATTGTTTTCCTTCAAATAAAAATCAATAAGGATTGTGATATTTTCCCGCTGTTACTTCGCAATGAAGAGAAAAAATCCTAGAACAGTTTTAAGGCAGTAGTCCATGGTTTCCCGTTCATGGTTTCCTGAAAAACCATAGAGCTAAAAATTATGACGAGCTGATTTTGTTTTGCATCATGGGGTATAGAATTCACAGGTTACATTCTCATTTAGATAGAGATACCGGATAATATGGGATCTTATTTGGAAGAGCAAGGGAAACGCTTTCTTCATCAAGACATAATGGAACTTGGACACGTTACCAAGGCCAGTACGATGAAAGCATGATGGGAGATCATATTTTGGGGTTGATAAGAGAAACTTCCGTTGAACATGACAAGAAAAGCAAAACTGTCGATTTTTAAACATTTGGACAAACAAAATATAAAATAATGTAGGATCGTTATCTTTTGCTATGTAAGTACCTCGGTAAGTACATATTTTAGGTTTATTTATTTGGTTTTTTCATTTTTTCACACAAAATCAGTTTGTGGCTATACAAGCAATAAAAATAAGGTATGTACGACTATACATCTCATGTGTAAAAATGCTGTACCGGTGTTATCTTTGTTTGCGCCCGTCCACCACACGTGCCATACTGCCATAGATTATTTTTATTCATAGGTAATGCAAGAAAGTGAAATTGAACCGAAGGAAAGTTACCGCATTATAAAGTTCATAGGTTTAAAAAGTGGTAAAGATGATGAGAATGATTGGGAAGTGTACATTAAACCTTATCATTTAATAGGATTTTCCGTTACCTTGAATGAAGATCAACCTGTCCTGTCCCCACCGCATTTCTTCTTATGACTATAATTATTTATAATCAAAAGGGTTAAAATAATAAAATAATCTAAACCTTTCTATATTCAAAGATGTCAAGGTAAAAAAAACACACCAAGCGACAGGTGTCCTCAAATAAAGAAAATTGTATATATCAAACATGAGAGGAATAGGCAGATCGTATTATCATTGACTGAGAATGGCAATGATATAACAGAGCCGATAAGCTTTATTACACGTTCTTTGGGATAGGTATCTTGTGAAAATCTAAATCTATTGTTTCATAGGTGACCCTACGGTCGATGGTTAAACTTCTAAATATTTATCCTTATAACGAGACAGTAATTCTGATGGTTAGTTAATAATTATTGTACTTGGGAAGAAGCTTATCACATTCTTAAGCAAACAGTGTTTCCTCATTTATTTAGAATTTTTCATTTTGTATTTGCAAAGTGACGTATATATGACGTAGTAAATTAGCATAATACGTACAAATGTAACAAACAATACCTATGTCGCGAAAAAATCTTATATAAAAGGGTTTGATAAGTCGTTGAGACGATATATTTTTACGAATTTCTAGATACATCAACACCTATCCGCCTTTTGGTAACCTTTTTTAACCAACTCACCCAAACTGAAAGAATGCAGCTAATTAGTATTGCCTTGTTAATAGTGCATGTAAGTACTCTTACGTTTAATTTATGGGTGCTAATACGGTAATCCTTTTACAGGCTGTTTTGGTACAATGCGTTTTTCATATCGAAATGCGAAGTTGCAGCGAAACAAGTAGTAAATACATACGGAACCAATATATCAGTGAAGTTTATTCAGAAATCGAAGATATTAGTGACTTATGGAAGCCACTACTTTCCTGCGCTGTGGAGGTAAAAAGTACATTAACACTTTTAAGGGCTAACATTGAGAGTGCTATATCCGTTAATAATCACCAAAAAAATCAATGCTTAAACTATTTGGTTGCCCAATCTGTCAATATCGAAAAAAAATACATGGGTTTTTTAAATGGAAAGTGTCATTGGACTGTTGGAGGAACCACCAAAGATCCTATTAGACACATTCGTGAAACCACATTAAACCTTGAAAGATGCACACGACATCCAGGAGAATGCACTTCAATTATAAAATGTTGTAAGCGTGTAGTGGATGACGCTAACATTAAAGATGAAGTCAAAATTGTAACAGCTCAATATCAAAGATGTTATAGACGTGAATGTAAGCGAATTAAGAGCGTGATTGCTTACATGTGGGTTGGAATGGCAATTTACTGCAAGCTGCAGAATCCTTCTGTATCAACTGGGTCTCCCATTGGAGTAACGGAAACAACTCCACCCCTAAATACACATCCTTTCTTCATATCGACTACAATACCGACAACTGAACCGCTACCTACTGATTCAACGACGGAAAACCCTTCGATATCAACTGAAACACACCAAACTGTGTCTACCACTGAACTAACGGAAACAACTCCACCCCTAAATACACATCCTTTCTTCATATCGACTACAATACCGACAACTGAACCGCTACCTACTGATTCAACGACGGAAAACCCTTCGATATCAACTGAAACACACCAAACTGTGTCTACCACTGAACTAACGGAAACAACTCCACCCCTAAATACACATCCTTTCTTCATATCGACTACAATACCGACAACTGAACCGCTACCTACTGATTCAACGACGGAAAACCCTTCGATATCAACTGAAACACACCAAACTGTGTCTACCACTGAACTAACGGAAACAACTCCACCCCTAAATACACATCCTTTCTTCATATCGACTACAATACCGACAACTGAACCGCTACCTACTGATTCAACGACGGAAAACCCTTCGATATCAACTGAAACACACCAAACTGTGTCTACCACTGAACTAACGGAAACAACTCCACCCCTAAATACACACCCTTTCTTCATATCAACTATAAGTTTTACAATACCGACAACTAAACCGCTACCTACTGATTCAACGACGGAAAACCCTTCGGTATCAACTGAAACGCACCAAACTGGGTCTACCACTGGACTAACGGAAACAACTCCATCCCTAAATACACACCATTTCTTCATATCAACTATAAGTTCTACAATACCGACAACTGAATCGCTACCTACTGATTCAACGACGGAAAGCCCTTCTGTAACAGAAACCCACCAAACTGAAGATGGTATTACGATATCTCAAACTAAAACATCAGCTCAAGGGCCATAAACTCGCACCACCACCTTCTGAGGCTGCCCATTGAAGCCTTCGGATTGAATGAAACAGTTCAGCGACAAAATGGAATTTCCACGACACCAATCGGTTAATTTATTATATTATTTATACATTATCTATTAAAGTAGAATTTATAATTTACACCTATCAATTTCCTTGCCGATTTTAAGTATTTAAATTGCAACAATAATCGCGGGCAATGTACTTGTATAAAAGTAAGGTCTACATTTGTCTATTTTGAAAAAGTTTGCTTTCAAGTAGCTTATGGCTGGTTTACCACTGTTAATGTTTCATAATTTTTTCGTAAATTGAATTCTAAAAAGACAGGTTGATTCGGTTCTAATTCCAAGATAATAACACCATAGCATATAGTGACCAGTTGGTATTTGGGAACAATTCTTCAGCCCCATTCCGATTTCTAGAGTCAAGATTTATCGATAGCGAATCGGAAGGTGAAAACGTCGTTGATTATCTGGAGAAGCCACAAAAGAATCAGCTACTGACTTGATTCTTGATGCTTTGTTTTGTTTGTTGGTTTGTTGTACTAAAACCTAACCAAAAAACAGTTTTATGTTAGTTTTTAGAACCAGTTCGCCCAACCCGGAGGCGAAAATAGTAAAAGAATTTCTAGAACCCATTTACTGCGATCATTTCAAGTGGAAAAAGGCCGTCTCTATAAAATCTTTAAAGGCATGAAACCTCGATGCCTGAGCTCTTTTAATAGTGCTAGCATCCTTCGTGCCATAGTGTGTACTATTATTTTGGAACGTGATTTTTAAAAGCGACATTTTTACGCCATCAATGTATTTCCTCTGTAAATCCATTTAGTTCCGACGTGATAAAAGAAAAACATAGTCCATGGCTACCTAGACTAAAAACTCGTGAAAACAGAATAATTAATTTTTTCGCGTACAAGAAAAGATAGAATAATCGTTATAACCTTTATTTGAAGTATTGTTGCGTAAAATAATTAGGAATCGTTTGCGCAAAGAAAAAGTAATTTCCCATGTTAAACGCCTATGTTCCACTTTTCGATTTACACCCTGTACATTGCCTTTTAGTCGTTACGAAGATTTCACCTTACCAAAAACGAGAACCGACTTTATCTACATTACCTACGTTATTTTTGTCACTCCGAGGGTTCATTCGTGCTAGTTTATTTTTATTAATGCATTGTAAAGTAGTTTTCTTGAAATACGCCACGTTCATGCTTTTATAGATATCACCAATTTGTACGGAAGATTCGTTGTCGATCAAAATTTTGCTTTTGTTTAGTTAACCTAAATTGAATTATTGGTTCTTATTAAGTGTTAATTACGTTTTTAGTATACCAGTTACCTGATTAGTGTCAAACGTTAGACATTGTTATCGCCATATTTATGTGCTGTGCTATTCACTATCTCTCTTGTTTGTTTGTTGTTATCTGTTACAGGTAAGGCAGAAAAGCGCCTTTCTGAATTCAGACAGCCGTTACGACCAGAGTTCAAAGGTAACATTTTCGACTAATCCTTGATATAACGTTTGATTACATACTGGTTTTCGATACAATCGATTTGTAATTACTATATTTGTTTGAATCGTCATTTAACAATTGCAGCTCCGTTGTTTTCTATAGAAGCCTGTTTTGATATCGATAAGTTCCGAAACTGCAAGTTGATTTCGTTTTTGAAAATTAAATTACCTACTTCTAAACGTTAGATCTACATATTGCATATTTGTAATATTTTGAGATCATTTATTAAATTACCCTCGACTGTGGTAACAATTCTTGTTTATGTTCTACCCTTTCAATTATTTTATTTCTGTAGCTTATCAAGAACAGAACCGGATCTCATTGTCTGCCTTTCGGCAAGAATTCTCTTTTCGCTTTTGAAATTTACTAAAGATTAAGTGGCGCCTATACGGCTTACTATATTTTTCTTCGTTTTGGCTAGTGTGCGAGAAACACATTATTCACCCCGACCCACACGCTACACTGATGTGTCAAACTGTGAACTCGAGTTGAAAAACTCCACTTTCTTCTCTAGTTGTACAAATAACTATTGCTTTACAGGATTGTTCGCCTCAAACCCTATTTACTGATACTTAATTTTATTGGAGCAAAGGAGTACCTTAAAGAAAATAAGAACCGTTTCATAATTCAATGGAGATTATTGACTTTTCATTTATTCTTTTTCCTTATGAGGCCAGAAGAGGATCACTAACTGACAGCTAGATATAGCACATTTATTTTTATATAATTACATAACAAAAACCACCCCCATTTTGAATTTTATTAGGGTTTAAAACTATCAAATACTTTCTGGAAGGTGAGGCCGAAGAAATAGCTCTCGGCAAACTTAGGAAACAAAATTGCGCTGTGTTGCTTAATGATTTATGTTTGTTGGTACAAAGTGCTATTGGAAACACCCTGGGAAAAACAGCATGGTATTATAAACTTTTATTTTCCACCCATATAATTATCCCCTAAGCAAAATGTTTCGCGAAAAGTGTAGTCACGAGTAGCTTTTGTATTATTTGGTTAAATGGACCGTGTTTTTTCCGGTAAAAAAAACTTTCAGATCGAGTTTAATTGGAGGTAATTGAGTGTTTTCTCACTCTAATACTAATATTCACACTAAATCTCCCGGCGTCATAAAAAATCGCGTCCCATCTGAATGCCTGAGCATGCACAGATTAAATTGCTGTGTCCGGCGACACTCTTTTACTCCCACCTGGTTTCCGCTATGCCCCTATGTTCCTTGACATTTTCCCGAACTTCTAGAAAAATTTTGAACTAGGAAGCTAGGAAGATCTGAAGACGATCAAGTAACTGTTGCATTGGACTTTATTTGAGAATTGTCACAAACATTTTGAGTGCAGTGACAAAAACCAAAACGAAATAGTTATTTTTCTACAACTGTCAAAAAAACCTGTCATTTTCTGACGAATTTCGAAACGCGAAGTACTAGATTTTTAAACTGTTAATTAATAAATAAGGTTGCTCTTGACAACGTGCGCGAAATCGTCAACAGTGAAAAAAAGTATTTCGCGCACGTGACAAAGTTGAACTTAAACAGCAAATTTAATTAACAATCGGTTCAGTTGTAGAAAAAATATTGTATATAACGCTAACGCGAAGTTATTTCGCGCATTTGACTGATATTTTAACTCGGCTTCGCCTCGTCAAAATACTTTCAGTCTCAATGCGCGAAATTGAACTTCGCGCTCTTGTTATATAAATAACTATTATATAACAAGAGCGCGAAGTTCAATTTCGCGCATTGAGACTGAAGGTATTTTGACGAGGCGAAGCCGAGTTAAAATATCAGTCAAATGCGCGAAATAACTTCGCGCTAGCGTTATATACAATATTTTTTCTACAACTGAACCGATTGTTAATTAAATTTGCTGTTTAAGTTCAACTTTGTCACGTGCGCGAAATACTTTTTTTCACTGTTGACGATTTCGCGCACGTTGTCAAGAGCAACCTTACTTATTAATTAACCGATTAAAAATCTAGTACTTCGCGTTTCGAAATCCGTCAGAAAATGACAGGTTTTTTTGACAGTTGTAGAAAAATGAAATTAACTGTCATTTTCTTGTTCGCATTTCAAGTAAGTACTTTAACTGCATCTGAATGCTTATACAGTTATTCTTATAGGGCATTTTGGCTCAAAACTTTTCTAGTGACGGATTACGAATAAAGTGTAGCAACGAAAAAATTATGTACATACGTGATGATTACATAAATCGCATTAGGGGGATTTTCTCAGGAGTCAAAAGTGTCAAAGACTTGATGAAACCGCTGTTTGCCTGTACCAAAGATATAACAGTCTCCTTAGTACCAGTAAGGCTTGCAGTTGAAGAAGTTCAACTAACCAGTCACCAAGTATCAAGTCAATGCTTAGATGACTTAGTTGCTCGATGTGTTACTATCCAAGAAACGCACGAGAATCAGTTAAGGGCCAAATGTTACATGAATTTAGAAGCTAACGTGATCGGTGTTATTAGTCTCATTAGGGAGACCGTTTTAAACATTGAAAAATGCCTAAAAAGTTTAGAGGGATGTACATCAGCTAGAAAATGTTGTAACCGTATTGTAGAAGCCGTGAGTGCCTCTAAGGTTTATGATCAAATGGAAAGTTTAGGACAACAATATGAAAACTGCGTTCGAAGTGAATGTACGAGAATTAAAGACGAGATTGCATCGATAAGCTCTAGAATAGTAGTTTGTTCGCAAATGACGACAGAAGAACCTGCTACGTCATCTGAGAAACAACAAACTGATCTTCTTGGTGCACAAAGTGATCAAAATGAACTATCTTATGATATATCAATTGAAGCACCTCCACCAGACTCTCCCGTTTTACCTTTTGACACAACACTCACTAACAGTTCCGTAGTACAAGGAGAAACTCACGTCGCACCAACTGGTTAATCTTTTAACTTAATTTTTCAATAAAAATGGACTTAAGATTTTTCTTTATCTGTTAAAATGTTACAAGAATATGTATATATTAATAAAGTTAAAAGAAAAATAATACCCTAAACAAGTTTATATAGGGGGTGGCATTTTGGGAAGTTTCAACCAGAGCTGGGCAGTATTCGATTTTGTAAATACTTTTTAGTATTCAAATCCTTTAAAGTATTCAAATACTTTGTAATTAAATACTTGTATGGGAACAGTATTTGTATTTGTAACTCAAATACTTTCACAAATATTTAGTATTCGAATACTTCGCAAAGTATTTGAATACTTTGAGAAGTATTCGAATACTTCGCACCAAAATTTCTCGGGAAAACACTTTATTATTAATTTTGGTGCGTAGAATCCAAAACAATTGGTACTTTTTCGATCAGACTTCTCAATCAAAAGTTACATATAGACTAGAAACCAATTTCGAAAGAAACTTCAAAGGGCGGTAACTTTTGAACTAGTAGCCCAATCTTGGAACTGTTTGAAATTATGGATTCTACAGGCCACATTCTATAAGAAAATTTTTTTTCCGGGTCGATCTGAGACAATTTTTTTTGGGCCTCAAAAAAAGGCAGTGTATAACCTTCCTTTTTTACCAAAAATCGACTGCACCAAAATTTCTCGGGAAAACACTTTTTCTTATTAATTTTGGTGCGTAGAATCCAAAACAATTCGTACTTTTTCGATCAGACTTCTCAATCAAAAGTTATAGACTAGAAACCAATTTCGAAAGAAAATTCAAAGGGCTGTAACTTTTGAACTAGTAGCCCAATCTTGGAACTGTTTGAAATTATGGATTCTACAGGCCACATTCTATAAGAAAATTTTTTTCCGGGTCGATCTGAGACAATTTTTTTTTCGGGGCTCAAAAAAAGGCAGTGTATAACCTTCCTTTTTTACCAAAAATCGACTACACCAAAATTTCTCGGGAAAACACTTTTTCTTATTAATTTTGGTGCGTAGAATCCAAACAATTCGTACTTTTTCGATCAGACTTCTCAATCAAAAGTTATAGACTAGAAACCAATTTCGAAAGAAAATTCAAAGGGCTGTAATTTTTGAACTAGTAGCCCAATCTTGGAACTGTTTGAAATTATGGATTCTACAGGCCACATTCTATAAGAAAATTTTTTTCCGGGTCGATCTGAGACAATTTTTTTTTCGGGCCTCAAAAAAGGCAGTGTATAACCTTCCTTTTTTACCAAAAATCGACTACACCAAAATTTCTCAGGAAAACACTTTTTCTTATTAATTTTGGTGCGTAGAATCCAAAACAATTCGTACTTTTTCGATCAGAATTCTCAATAAAAGTTATAGACTAGAAACCAATTTCGAAAGAAAATTCAAAAGGCTCTAAATTTTGAACTAGTAGCCCAATCTTGGAACTGTTTGAAATTATGGATTCTACAGGCCTCATTCTATAAGAAAAAATGTTTTCCGGGTCGATCTGAGACAATTTTTTTTCGGGCCTCTAAAAAAGGCAGTGTATAACCTTCCTTTTTTTACCAAAAATCGACTACACCATAATTTCTCGAGAAAACACCTTCTCTTATTAATTTTGTTGCGTAGAATTCAAAACAATTCGTACTTTTTCGATCAGAATTCTCAATAAAAAATTATAGACTAGAAACCAACTTCGAAAGAAAATTCAAAAGGCTGTAACTTTTGAACTAGTAGCCCAATCTTGGAACTGTTTGAAATTATGGATTCTACAGGCCATATTCTATAAGATATATTTTTTTCCGGGTCGATCTGAGAGAATTTTTTTTTCGGACCTCAAAAAAAGGCACTGTATAACCTTCTTTTTTTTACCAAAAATCGACTACACCAAAATTTCTCGGGAAAACACTTTTTCTTATTAATTTTGGTGCGTAGAATCCAAAACAATTCGTACTTTTTCGATCAGACTTCTCAATAAAAAGTTATAGACTAGAAACCAATTTCGAAAGAAAATTCAAAGGGCTGTAGCTTTTGAACTAGTAGCCTAATCTTGGAACTGTTTGAAAAAGGAAGTACTTTTAAGTTATTCAAATATTTGAGAACAATTTAGAAATGTTTAGGGAAAGTTTCCATTGTCACAAAATCAAATATAAAAATCCGATACAACTGAATACCGAACGATCCTGGAGTGAAACTTTTTGACTCGATAGTCTACGTAACTTAAAAACAATAGGGACCTTTCTTATATCCTTAAGACCATGTGTACCAATTTTCAAAGCGATCGCAGGTTTCTAAACAAACTATCATGCACACTGACAAACGGATGGTCAAAAATGGATCTGTTCCAAAATCGCTAGGATTAATTTCAGAAAGGCCTACCTACGTATCATGTGCACGACGCTTTGAAAACTGGTACACATATTCTTAAGGATATAACTAATATAAGAAAGGTCCTGGTAGGTACCTCGTATATAACAATATAATAATAATAATACGCATTTACTCCCCTTAAATTTGTATATAACAATAGAAATATAAAAAAAGCTAACCCCATACAAAGTATTGCAGTACCCTGATGATGCCTTCGATTTCGATCCTTTCCTCGCTCAACCTGCTAGTCCTCATGGTATCGTAGGAAAGGATTCGGCAATATTTCACTCATTTCTTGCATATCGACGGATGGAAAGGGTTCATATGGTATCCATTGAAATGGGACTAGCCGATAAAGAAAAAAGATAGGAAAGAGAAAACTGACTGACACCGTTGAGTGAAAAGTAATACTCAACGCTGACACTAATGAAGTAAGTAAAGATCTAAACAAATTTAAATAACCAAGAACAGCTAAATGTTAATATATTATTTAAATTGT